TTCCAACTTTGTACTTGCAGAGCTTCAACAACATGAATTAAACATTTCTTCAAATCCCTAATCAGACTATCTTTTACGATCAATCTTCTGAAACAGCGTCTGCTATCAACTAAGCATTGTGGTGTGGAGCTGATGGTTGATATACGCGAAAGTTTATTGAGCTGTGGTAGAAGCTGTTGGCGCCGACACCGAACAGTCTACATCTCAGCACGGCTTACGTACCTAGCTCCATACAACCAAGTGAATTAATGAACGTTGTTCTTGGAAAATATGTTCACCACTGAGCGACTAGTTCAGCTGATTTACAGAGTAGCTGCATGAAAGGTTCCTTGGATAGCCCTCATTCGTCCGCATTTAAATATCTAATCTGCTGCATCTCTATTGAATTCAAAGTTCCCAATTAGCTTCTTCTTTGTTTGTACAGTGATAGGAGACCAATGAGTAGCATCGCGATGAAAACTTTTATTTGTAAATCTCTCCGGTCAGCCATTTTTAATGAACAAAAATCTTGGAAATGGAATTCTGTCTTCTAAGCTGTTGAGGGTTCAAGTCTTCCTGATTCAGGAGGAGAGAAAATGTGTTGATTTTCTTTCCCGTTTAATATGGACTTGGCTATGAAAGTGTATCATTTGTCCATTCGACGGAGGTCTTCAATAAACAAGTCTTTTAGGCGTCGCATAGCCTTGACGTGTTGACAGTACATCAAGAAATGACATCATTGAGCGTGACTACATAAACATAGAAAATTTAATAGAGGATTGAATGAAGTCCTCTCTATAAGCCACAACTCTTGTCACAAATATTGTAAATATCTTCGAGGCATCTTGTGTGGGAGTTAAAATACTTGATAACTGGTTTGAGTGTAGTTCCTTCCAATTCAATCGTTATTATATCTCCTAGAAGTGAAACCAGTCGTAACCCGATTGCTTTCCCGTCTCCCTGGTGTTACAAGGTGTTGTTAAATCCAAATGGGACATTAAATGTCCATATTAACAGCAGTACTTTTAGATGTTTTGTCTGCATACTGATATTTTCTGCATTCAAATCAATGTAATGACATTTTCAACAGACCGTTTCAACTAGTAGAATATTATTTGTCGACAATGAAGTAACATACGATAATAACAAAACATTATCCAAAACATTTACACTGCGCACGCAATCAAGAAGCTCGAATTTAGCACATAGAAAATAGTTAGAAACTTGCCTTCTGATATGCTTTTAGAGTTGAGAAAACCATTTAGCAACTGAATAATGAAGTGAGCTAGACACGTTTAGGACGAAACGTAATGGCAAGTTGGGTTTTCAGGTTTTAGGTATTCCGTATAGACGTATATTTTAATATGGTTGTGCGGCTGCAGAGGATGATATCACAGAAAACAAAAATTCCCGCTAAAGTCTTTATCGTCTTATGACCCAGTGGGGATATTTTTAAAAACAGAATAAATAAACGCTGACTGCTCACGGTATTTTATATAGACTTTCCTCAGGTACCTGTTTGGATTTTCAGTGTTCTAAGTCTGGAATTCACATTCAGTACAGATGTTAGTTTAAGGTAGATGTTGGGAATCAATCAGTAGGATGCTATGAATATAGATTCCCTGCTTACTGACATCCGTCAGAAAGGCATACCTACGATCATAAAGAAACTGAGGTTTGTTGGTTAGTTGGACACAAGTCACTAAATGCTGAAATTAGAGCTTTAAACAATAACCTCTTCAAGTATTGACTAGCTCTCGGTAAAACTTAATATTTTACACAAATTTGTTAGAATTAAGTAGCCAATGGAGCTGTGTAATCATTAGCGCTCATCGCTGACCACAACCCATCGGTCACGTTCACAATGTTATCACCAAGCTAATTGGTGAACTCTCAACGTAAGCGCCAAAACCTAATGCACCACAGTGCTAAATCACCTTGCGACAACATTCCGAACTTGATGAACAGACTTCAGTCAATGCTGAGACAATCCTGCTGACTACACCAATTATCCACTGATAACTCACTCGGAATAATTCATGTGCTACATTACTAGATTTCATTTGGTTTGTTTCAACTTAGAAAAACTCGTTTAAAACTGTATTTCCTCTAGTTCTGCACAAAACATTTAGTTCATCTTAGAGATAGATCTGCAAAAAGCTATTATTTCAGTGTTAATAACCCTGTGATGAACGTTGTCTGGTGGACTGTATAACTCCAACGTCTTTGCAGAAATGGTTTATAGTGAAGAAATTCAAAACAGTGTCAACTGAAGGAGAAATCTTCCAACCTTCAGTAAATTCCTATATGTCTACTGAAACAAATTTATTTATGTTGCTGTGTTACCAAACTTATTTCTTTTAAAAACGATAAAATAAATATTTTCACTACAGTCTGTAATTTTAGGTTTTTCGTATTAATTTAAGCGAAATCAATTATTTGACTGTTTGTAAAGCGTATCAGTATTCGGTGCACTATTTATCAGTATAGATAAGAAAGATCCTTTTTTGTTTATGTTAACCTACTTTTCTGTTTACTAATGTCTAGAATATTTTTGCTATAAACAATGAGACTATTGCCTTTTTTGTCACGTGCATTTTTCATGAAATTTAAGTAACCATTCAATAAGGTTACAACTACATTCATATTTATTTAGTTCTACTTTTAAGTCGCTAATAAAATTGTTAATATGAAGTTCACACTTGTTGTTTCGCACACCCGACTAAACTGAATGAAAAGTAGAATCACTCATTGATGATGAGTTCTGAACAGAAAGCAAAGAACATCCTGTATTTAGATGCTAGGAACTCCCCATCATACTAAGCACGATGAGTCATGATTCTTTCTTAACTACGTAGGAATATGAAAAATCAATAGTATCTGGTTATTCATTTACACAGATTGTACCGATTTCGTGGTTTTGCTACACTTCCGACAACCTACACAGCCAGTCATTGAATACTTATGTTAATTTCTCTGGTGAAAAGCAAATGAGTTTTTCACGAAGCATTGCAGCTTTAGCGATGTCAAAAGGGAGCAGCAAGAGTTCTTTTGTGCTACACTACAAGTTAGCGCATAATGAGAAACTCTGTAACCTGAATCATCTTCAGCACGTATGAGAAAAGTTCGACCAAACATTGTTTTATTGTTCTGGAACGACAAAACTTCATACTAATTATAGCTTGGTCGAAGATTACCTCTGCTTCAAACCTAAATATGGTGAATGCAACCCCCATTAACATAACTTTTGGACAGAATTTCTTAATCATGTACCATTTAAAGTTGTAATTACATCTTTGAAGAATACGTTTACAGTCAGTCATCAGAACAATTGATTTTCTGCACTCAAAACTTCACACAAGCACTATAAGCGATTATTTTTACCCGCTGGATGTTATCGTTCCCCAAAACAACAAAGACTGTGAAAGATTCATTCAGCTGCTTTATTTTATGTAGTATTCAACAGCGTACCTTATTATACTTCAGAATTGTCAAGTTGATATGCACACAGTTCAGTAAAATAATACATCTCCCTTAAAACAACAGCTCGACCTCTATTGTCCCATGTGATAGCATATGGTAAAAAGTGTTATCGAAGAGAGTGAACAAGAGCACAAGGTGTGAAACAAATAAATCATTTTGCTCATATAGATCTATAGCAGGAATCGACAAACTGTGCCCTCGGTCTACAAATTTTCAACATGCAATGACTATTTGTACTGGTTTACCTTCTGTTTGCCAGATTCAGGTGACGCTTTGATTCGAAAGTTCGCCTAATGATGTATATTTTTTTTAAGTAGAAATTATTTTCACAGACATTTTCAGTTAAAATGGTTCACAAGATAAAGACCCCTTAAGTATCGAATCAGCTTGCGCCATATAAAGAGAACTCCTAGAAATAACGCTATCACGCCGAATTTAGGATTTACAGGATTTAGCATTCTGAAGTCGACTGGTGGTTAATCAGCTATAAGTCTTCTTCATCTTGTGACCCTTATACAACATGTTAGAGGCAATGACCCTTAAACCACATATTTGCAGCTGACAGCTCAGTATTGAAAACAAAGAATACCTGATGTACCTTTAGGCCAAAGAATAGTTAGGTGCTTTGGAAGCTTTTGGTCGGTAATTAGTGATACATCTAGGAAGTGAGAGAAAAAGAGACTTTTACCACAATTCCATGAAATCTCAAGCATTCTCCAAGCCCTATTCATCTCCTCACTACTCGAAAATCGGTCTGTCAAGTATTGACTATCTTTGTTAATTTCATCGAAAACTTAATTGATACAGAGTAGTTATTTGTCTTACTTATATGTGGTAAAAGTGGGAAAAGTTATCATTTTGAATTCATTCAGTAATATTCAACAACAAAGTATCTGCCTACTTCTGTGAATTAATACACATCACAATCCTAAGTACCTAGTCTTAGTTATTTTATTCTCAGTACAGAAAGGAAACTAATATACATTTCAAACATCAAATCTTTTGTCCTCTATCTGTTCCACGGGACCAAAATAATACCCATATCTTCAGTACTTTTTCCCATAAATTAAACACTAATAAATCTGTATTCGGTTGTGTACCCATTTCCAACAAATAGATTATAGCTTATTTTAACATCAAACTATTCCATGGAACTGTTTCTTCCAATTTTTAAATACAATAGTCCGTCCCTGTAGATTGATTTGCACAAAGCAGAAAAAACAATTTTAGGAATACAATAAGCAGAATTTGGTGGAGTGATAAATTTCCTTGGGTTTACATAGTGGCATGGTAAAATCAGCGATGTTCTTAAAAGTATTTCGGCATAAAATACCCTTCTTTGTTCCACGCCTAATGTATAATCACTAGAAAATAAATCACTGCGAAAATAGTAGTAATTCCGAGTACATACAAAGTTATTAGCCTTCCGTGCATTTTATAAATATCAAAAGATAAGATATTAGCTTATATTACTGTAAGTATTAGTGTAGTAAAATAAGTATTACTAAAAAGAACATCACTGATGTCTTCCAACCCACCTTATTACGTGCAACTCCGTGTGGTGGAACAGGAGGAGCTATGGGCTTCTGCTGACCAGCTGATACAGCTGCATTGAATTTTGCTTGGATCGGTGTATACTGCTGTGAATTACCATAGCTAGCATTCCTGAGCTGGGGTGCACTAGGTGTTCGCTGACTACTGCCACCCTGCCTAAGAATTCCACCACGTGCAAATTGGCTGTCATTGCTGGCAGTAGGCTTACGCCGTTGTGAGGTTTGAGATGGCTGACCATTTTGCTTTTGAAGGGAATGATTTCCAGATGATCCGTTATTTAGTCCAAGTGTGAAAATATCTGTAGTTGATGTAGCTGCATTTGACTGGGTCATAGCTTCGACCTGACGGATAATTTCTCTTACAGAAGGCAAAATATGAGACTCACCATCCTCCTATATTTTTGTAGTATTACGGAAAGCAATACAAATGATGATGATTATTATTTGCTTAATTAAACGGAAGTTTCTAGTATTTTTTGTGATTTTCAATGCGGCAGTTAAACAAGAACTCTGGCAGGTTTATAGAAAAGGAATAAATCTGGGTAATTAATTGCTCTATTTTGATTTGCGAGATTCCTGTGAACGGCATATAATTCCACCTCCTAACTATGCGAGCGAACACCGACTAGATTCGATCCATACGTACGCGTTAGGAAGAACACGTAGCATGTTTTCATGCTTAATTCTGTTTAAGCTTTGAGTTGGCGAATTTATCCGTTTGATTAGAAACAACTAATAAGTCTGATTTCTAGCTATTTTTCTGTTAAATAAATTATAAGGATAACCTAATGATCGGAAACTCATATTCATAACCAAGGTACCAACTGAAGAAATCCTAAATGGAGCACAACTACGCCTGACTTCCACAGTTTTCAAGTTTCAAGTAGAAATATACAAACTAATAAGGGAATTTCTCAAGGGATCACCAATATCCCTAAAAGTGGCAGACATATTTCCAGATAGGTGAGAACAAACAGCTCTTAGAACACTTAATCCTGCTTCAAGACATGACGAAGATGCGCAAGTGGCACACTTACGGTGTTGAACTTGGAGTATGTCGATAAATTTTGACCCAAAAATTTAGTTGTGGATAAGATTCAGTTTACCTAGGAATCGGGGAGTAATGAGGTAGAACCAGCTCTACTGGAATGCAATATAAGAAAGGAGACAAGATCTGTACTTATATAATAGTATGTGTAGTAAACTGACGCATCCGAATCGATACTTAGACCTCATCTCATCTCATAGCATGACATTTGAAATAGGTTTTGTCAAATGTCCATGCAGTAAAACACGTTAATAAAACTATGTCACTTCACAGTTACCGTTGTAACGTGATCTATAATAGCCAAAAAATTGCTATAAAAAGATTTATAACGTGGATACAAATAAAATATATACTAGTAATGGCAACACCAAGAAACAAGAATTTGAAAACTACACAGTGTTATCATATAAGGTAGGTACTTCAGAAACTGTACATAGGATTCCCAGCAGATCTGAGATTTAGATGCCAATTAAATCTAAAAACTCAGTAAGCTTAGAAAGCTAGTGTACCCTTTGAGTCTATCGATCAAAATAATTCAGTTTATCAAACTCCATGCACTGATTTTTAGGCCAGGTAAATGAGCCATAATAGTCGATCGGTATCACTTAGAATTACAGAGAACTAAAACTTGACAAAATTCCGAATGGTAGACCCTCGCAAGATAAAAAATTCTAGAGAAAAGCTCAGCTATTGCATGTAACTACTCACAACCACATAATAAGATGAGGAAGGGTGACAACCCTTAAAACTAAATTAGCGGCTTGTAAAAACAGGTAGACAACTGAAGCTTTGTTTACCGAACTAACACCGAACACACGCAACAGGAGTGACTCAACACATTTTCCAGGTATTTAGAAAATTCTGCTATCCATATAACAAGTGAAGAGAAAGATGCGGACAAATGTTGGAGACGTGGAATTATAACGTCATCAAGTAAATAATAATGTTTCTCTTATTAAAATACGCAACAAACAAACTATTACTGAGCTATTACGCAGCAGTTCGCCTTCTGTCTTCGCTTCTTGAGATTGCAGCTGAATTTAACAAGGATCAAGTGCTGATAAAGTTGTAAGTTGCCAGACGCAAGCACATTGAGATTTTTTCAAGTTGGTATTCATCATGGACGGAAATCAGTTGGAGGAACATTGGAAACCCCAAAACACTAGAGAGCTGCTTTTTCTAGTATGGACGCGTCATGTCGTGAACTGACAAAACTCGAAAATATGGACCACTGAAGTCTGACTCAGTGGCTCATTGGTACTGTGCTGGCCATGGAACTTGAATGTCCTGGGTTCGGTTTCTGGTGGGGCCATAGGTGAGTACTTCTGAGGAGTTCCATACTACGACGATACAATTGTCTAGTGCTCCTAGGTTTACAGTGTTCCTGTAGCTGAAATCAGTACATGGTGAATGCCAAATTGAAAAATCACTAAATCCCTATTAAACCCTAAAATTAAATTAGTTTTTATTTTTTGTGAGATAATATAAAGTCTCACTGTGACGTACAAAGCAACTCGCATACTTTTTATCATGAGTATTGGTCCATTATTAAGATAACAGTAAAAGCGTCATTTTTTATAGATGATGTCACGGTTGCTGAAGCGAAGTTATAAACCTGCTAAACATCTCTTCAGCACTGAGTACCCAAAGAACTTTGTAGTTAGTCAACTGATAATCAAAAAGAAATAACTGTTCAACATTTACACACAAGGCTTTCTTTGAAGTGCATCATTTGTTTGAAAACAACGCATGATATTCTTTAATTTTAAGAAGAAATTAATTACCTCAGGAACATCAGATGAAAATGAATTCATACTGCTATGCTCAAGTCTAGAAGATGAGGAGCCATGTTGTTGAGAGTTTGTAACATTTAGATTGATCTTTTGAGATTTTGCAACATATGAATTTTTCTCTCCATTTGTACCTTGTATCAGATTATTTTCAGAAGCTCGAAAGCACGTAACAGGACTGATAGTAGGACTTGGTCCTGGACTAGGTTGTGCACTTCTGCTTCGGGCAGGAATTGTCACTGGTCCTGGGCGACTACCTGATGTATATATCTGAAAATAAAAAAACCTATTTTTATTTTTGACTAAGACACTGGGATAAAATGATCGATGAATTTCTTTTTTATACATAAGAGAACGTTTTACACTAAGAAAAATAACCGATGTCAGAGTTTGCCTTAAAATTAAAGCATGAGAAACTATGGCTTAAGCGTTTTAAGGCTTTTTGACTTTTACTGCATTTTTCAAAGGCTAGGTGGAAGTCCTTCAGTAGTCAGTCAGTTTTTCTAAACTTGCTTTCACTTGGAACCAATCTTATACACACTGCTCCACATCTGAAGTATATTGTCCTGCATATGTACCAAGGTGCACTATAACATGCTCAGTGTTGTGTATAACACTCTGATATTGCATTCGTTGTTTACTGTCCTAATCTGACCTTAGGTGTATGATCAGTATGGATTGATTATTGTTATCACCTGTGACTTACCAGTATGGTAGTAGTATACATAGAAGGCTGTTATTTGAGACTTTGCAAGCAAAGTTTACAGGACAAATCCTCATTTTAATGACTGGTTACATACTTTAATACCTTTGCTTTTTTCTCTTTCACCCTATTTTTAGTGTGTTTGCCTCCCTTGAAAGACTGCAGGTAGCTTCTGCACAGGTGGGCTGTGATGAATCGTAATCCACGTATATCTCTTAGTATAGCTTTTCCAAAAATAGTCAGGCTCAAAAGTTATTTTTTCTAGTTTCTCCTAAATGGATAACCAAGAAAGGAGAGTTCACCTTGTTAGGCTTTGTTTCTAAGCTAAAACTGATACTGGATGATGTAGTTTTCAACCTAAGGAAGAATTCTTGGTGCAAGTTGTGTATCAAACTACAAATCTATCATAAAGATATCTTAAATGAATTTTTACACTCAGTACTTTAGTAAAGATATCTTGTTTAAAATTACTCACACATAGATTCATTACTTTGCACGATACAAGTAACTGCTTAGATACTCTATTGATTTTTCTCCATGATTTCGCCTCAGATACTGGATTAATCAATCTGTTAGCTGAAAATGAAGACTTTGAAGATCCCACTGGTATTTGATAAAAATCCTTCTGCTGAAGTTGTATCTAAGTATCATTATTTTAAAATAATATTTAGGCTTTAATCGATTGGAACGCCAGTAATAAATAATGACTAACCCAAGTTTACATCCATTTTAGGGACTCAGAGTTAGTTTGCAGTCCTTTTATAGGCAATCTAATATAAAAACCAGACAGTCAGAGAGTTTTATGTTAGTGTGTTGGTAAAGTCTACTATTGGTACAAGTGGAACCGAGTGTTTGCTAATTATGGATAGGTCATAGAATCCTATTGAGATCATTAACGTATGGTTGAATTTGAAAAAAAAATTGAAATTACTCTTTTCAGGTTTCAGTACTTTTACTAGTCAATCTGATCTGAAGTTCATTTTATTCATATTTAGCAGATAAACTTATTCTCGTCAATGAGTATGGTGCTTTGCATAGGTATTTCGCAGCCATCTAATAATTTACTGTGTTCATAATGACTGTTGTATTTCATGTCTGCTTTTGTCATTACAATTTTCTTGCAGTTCCATTGTTTAACGGCTTGAAACATATTTTAATTATAGCCATTGTTGATTGGTGAACAAGCGTCGGTTATGGGACCAGTGTTAGGATTTCTACCTAATGAACATACACAAGCTTTACACCTAATAATCTGTTGTTGGTTGTAAATCGACCCAGCAGATATTTTAAAAATTCTTCATTTTTTTCTATAGTTTCCTCAATTTTTTCATTCAATGCATGAATTTCATCCTAACATCTACTAATATGCTTCGAACTTCTTGACTTTATGTGTATATGCTGTTATCACACAGACGTATACTATTTCTGCTTCACGGAGTAAGCGTTTCTAATGAACTTGAGAATGATTCAGTTTCATGGCATATTTCACGTAGACTGAGCTTCTAAATGTCTACTGCTCCAACAAGCTTATCAGTTTCATAGTTCCTCCTTTGACCTGTGTTTGATGAATGCGTCAACACAGAGCAATGAAAGGAGACAAGTAAAACACTTGTACAATATTCTCTCGTTTTTTACTATGGTTCAGCAAGTATGGATCCATGATAGTATTACTTTACTTATTTCTTACCAAATGCACCAACAATAGGATACCAGGGACACGTTTTAGAGAAATGAATCATCGCTTGTCTATTTTTGGTAAATAAATGGAGTAATAACTAAATAGTTTGTGTTTATTTACCTTATTGTCTATTCAATCATGATGAAGAGACAAAATGAACTAGAGGAAAAGGAGATATCTACGCAATAACACCATCAACAGAAAACATTAGTTTGTTTATTCAAAATCATTGATTTCGGATTTTGACAGTGAATCAGATACTTGAAAAATCAAAGGAAGGGAAGGATAAAAGACTAATTTACTTCTAACGTGTCTGTAAATCATTTACTGATAAAAATAGCAGATAAATATATTAAATGAGAAGGAATGAACCATTTCTGCTGCAAGATTTTAAAACGTAGGCTACACAACAATAGGTGTACATGATATATCAATACTTAACGCAATTTCATGTGGTGAAGGTGTCAGAAAGAAGTAAATGTTGATGAAGTCACTTAGCTCGGTGATGCAGTAACCAAGAACAGGCCTCAAAGTTTAGAGAATCCTCAAAGGTCAATACATTTCATACGTTAGATGAATTAATCGACAAGTATAGAACCTGGGCATGGTCGCGCAGTTTTAAGTTACATAAATTTATTCAACATATACTGACATAGCTTTATTTACTGGATGAAGATTCGGGCGCCATTTACTACTCACAATCAGATCAACGTAATCACGGATTTTTTTTGACTCAGTTTCTACAGTTTTGTGGCTTTTTGGTCTTTGCATTTATTGGAAGTAAAACTTCTCCATACATCTTAAATTGTTGCTGAATTATCTTTGTTGCACATTTTAGACGTGGAATCAAAGAACAAGGATTGAGGGAGCAACGTCTTCCTCCAAAAAAATAAGCCTTTCCCCAGGGTGGTTACCTTGTCTGACCACGTTAAATTGTTGAGTGTCTTACCATACAAACCTACTGGTGAACTCTGCTCATTGTTATGCACATTAGTAGGGCCTGCCGTTCGGAACTTAGTGGGGAAAACATGTGCCCTATGGGTAATGGATCAACACAATGTCACCAGCAGTTGTTCTCGGATTACAAGGTGACTACCAAAAGACCAGCACAAATTTTGCTGAAGAATGTGTAAAATATTATTTCAAGAATCACTAAATGACTGCACAATAATCTAGAAAGTAATAGAAGAGGTAAAAATATGGAATACCTATATAGAACTGACTGAATGTAGAGTAGGAAGAAGAGGATGAAAACGATGTTAGTAAATGAAGTAGAAAAATTATAGAAAGATTATGACTAAGATAAAATTATAAATTTGACGTAGCTTATTTAAGCAAACAGATCAAGCACGAACTGATGAATTACCAGGATTTCTGCGACGTTTAAGTGACGAACCTACCCCCGCTCTGCTTAAAGTGTTTTACTTTATATGTGACTTGAAATAAGATTTCCGTGAAGCTGTACAATCAGAGTTACCCAAATGTTCAAGAATCAAGCTAATGATTGATGAGGACTCATGTCTGGATAAGCATATACAGATGCATGTGGGTAAAACTAGTGCTTAATGATATGGTGCATTCATAGGCACACGTAGGGGGGAAAGAAGTAGGTGTTTTTCCTTCATACACACCTTAGTCAACTGTCGACTACAAAGGGCAGTCCACAGTTTGTTAGAATAAAGGCCACTCCGCAGTTCGTTACGCGATCAATTTTTGAATACTGCTGCGATTATTTTGACTTTAAATACGATGTTCATAAAACACCATAGGCTTTCATTTTTTGAATCTTCTAGCCACTGATGAACACATAATCACCTTTTCACCTAAGAAATAGGTTTTTAATGTTCTTGTGTTGACGTCTTAACTAGTAATAGACATATTTCCTAGTTGCAATAATAAATAGGAATGTGTATCATATGAAAATGATACGTTTTTGGAAAGGTTTATTTGCTGAATTGTTGTTTGTCAGCATTTGCACAGAGTTCGAAGGTTTCGTCAAATCAACTGTGCTACCCACGTTGCTTAACTATTACATTTACAACGATATTTAAGTAATTGTACTACTTGAATTCCTTTACCAGACTAAACTCTTAGAGTATGCTAGGTCTTTATGCTTTGTAATAATACTCCCTCCTATTGCGTTGTTGAGAAGTCAAACGAAAGATGTAACGAAAAATTTACCCTGATCATTAGATGTGAATGAAGTATTTTCATCTGAGTAGATACCAAATATCATTTAGTGGTGAAAGGTAATGACGTTGAAAAAAATTATTATAGCTAGATTTACACGGCATTAAGTCTTAATCTTTAATTTCTCTGTTAAAATTATATCTGAAAAGTTTTTTTCACTGATGAAGATCACTCTAGGATTAACTTAGTTTTATAAGTTTCGGGTACAGCAACAAAACATTTCTTGGCAAGTTTATGAATGATGTTTTTTAATACCGAGTCACCTCAACGCAGTCTGATGAAAAACTAAAACAATAATACCTTTATCTCTAGATAACGCTTTGGAAAATATGCAAAGTCCATGAAATTCGATAATGAATGATCCTACGTCGCCACACATATCATCAGCTATTCACGAAAACCACCTTTTGATTTCTGATGGGTATTTGACTGAAACAAACACCCATTTTTTTATAGTCCTGTTTTGCTTAATCAGTTACGTGCAACAAGAATAAAGCATTTTCACTGAGTACTGTGCATTAAAAATTTTCTGAATTTGTAGTGTCCGAAATGTCGAACATTTGCTCTGCATTAATGCCATACCTGACATACAGTCATGTATAATAACTGCATGAACACTAATTACCTCTAGAATGCATCATTAAAATGTTGAACAGCATTTTTATAATAACATAAGCATCTTGCATAATCAAATACGTTGTTGCAGTGATAGGCATAACTAGTTACAACGGTTGCAAACAGTTGTAAATAAAAGTCAAGTCAGTTTTCAGGCCAACTTTTCTTGTCAACTATAGTAAAGGTAAAGAATGACATTTATGTGGCTATTTGCACTAGTTGTAACTCTGATGGACTGATGACCAGAAAGCCAGAAAATGTAAAATAGAGTTTGTATCAAGTAATAATTCAACCGAAATATGCAGTTTTAAAAATACCCCTCTCAGAGACAATCAAGTTGAAAAGGGGAATATCACGGAAACCGAAAAACGGCTAGTATTTTTTTATCTAATGTACTGAACTGAATGTTTAAACTCAGCATTCTTACACTGAAACCGATAACAGTATGTTTGTGAAGATGAATCGTGGAGAATTGGAAGGAAATATGACAGGTTCTTCTAAAGATTTAGTTGATGTCACACTAACGTTTTATCAGGTGATGTGTATTGTAGTGGCTGAAAATAGGAAGGAAACAAGGGAATGCGCTAGTGACCTATAACAGAAATGAAAGAACTACCATCTAATACAATAAAAATACTATAAATATATTACCAAAGGATAGTAAATTCACTGACTGTTTTTCGGTCGACTGAAAGTTAGATAACGTTTACTTGTTTCACACGGAATTCAACAGCAGAGATTTGAAACCAACTTATATATTTTATTTCATAAAAAAAATACTAAGAAATTACTTTACTGACGTGATTTAGGTGGAAAATGTTCTATTTCTGAATATCAAAATATGTTCTATTTCATCTTCAAACGAGTACTAAAAGTGTATCATCTTACCTGTGCTCCGTCTCTTGTCGTTGAATTAAGTGTAGTATCCGATGGAAAACGCTTCTGAGTTGTATTCCCACCATGAAGATTTTGAATCTTACGAAGACTCGGACCTTTAAAAAAATATCAAATAAAAGGGAAACAGTTACTAAGTATTAAGTTAATTTTTGAATTAGTTTTGAATTAAAGGAAAGCACATTAGTGTGAACACATTGTACATGTTTAGATTTCTTTCTGAATACCACCACTTTATTTATCTATAAGTTTTATCATCAGGAATGAAGATGAACGCAAAACGATTTCCATCTTTGCGCCAGACCTAAAAATATTTTCGGTTTTCTCAGTTTCATTCCGCTTTATGTAAATTTTATTTATAATGAAACAATTTTACTGTTTATTGATTGACTTGTGATTGCATAAGTTTAGATAGTGAGTTGATATTAAACTATAAATTATGAAAGTTCATGAATATTGTTGAACATAAAACTGTGGTTCATAAGATGAGTTCCTTATGTGGTCACAAAATCAGAAACAAAAAATAAATTGTATCTACTAGGCTGCGTCTATTTAGCAAGTTTTTTCATCCTAAGACTCCGCAACACTAAATAAGCTTTAGTAGCATTTTCTATTAAAAACTTTAGATAGGCAGTAGTGAACATTATTGGGACTTATATATTCCATAACACAAATCAATGCCGTACAGTACAACTGTCAGGAACATATTCAAAACACTTCTTAAACATTCATGTTGTGAAAAAGATGCAGGAAATATGCCATAACCTATCTTATTTCTTAGGAACACTTGAGGCCGGTTATTGCGATGTCAGAACATCGCATCACGTGAGAAATAATCTCAAAGGGACGTTTTCATTAAAAGCTAATTTAAACCTCTATCGACATCAGAATACTGTGTAACAGATAAGTGGGTCTACAAACTGCGACTGTTACATTATGTCTTAGCTTACCTGTATCTGAGTGCATATGAGACAACGATAACAAAGGTTTTGTATAAAAGTGTAGAAAATCTCTGTATAACAGAAATTATATGGTGGGATAAAAAGAAATAGCGTGTTAGGCATCACATAAACACTACTGAATAATGCTGATGACAGATTTTTATAGTGCTTGTCAAAATAATAAAGAGACGCTTATACCTTGAAAAAGCCATAATTTTTTGCATCGTCACATATGAAAATAAACAGTAGTTGTGATTGATGACTACCTAATTGTTTCACTCATTTACCATTCACTAGAATTCAGTTTTGAATGCATGAATTCATGTTATTTTACATGAATTTGAGTAATGTTTTCAATGCTGTACCCTAATCGGATATTACTTTGATACGTCGCTGATGGCGTACCATTCAAAACAAGTATTGAACGTTGATTTTTGAGAACGCTTTTACAAAGCCAGTGAGCAGACTCAATCCTCATTCTGCTAGTTTTCTTCAATCCAAATTAGTCATTTCTTCTCTATAAAGCTAGAAACTATGAAACAACATTGTGATTGCAAATACTTAGGCACAGAATGTCTCACGCTCTAGATTAAAATCATATCTACACAAAAAATAGCATAATTATATGACGGTCAAGGTGATAAGAGGATTGATGAACAAAATTAATAATCAGTGAACCAGTCTTTTCTAAGACATTTCAATATTATTCTGTCTTTTAGAATAAAGTATCCATATCTAGCTCCTTTTCAAAAGATGAACCACAAAATAAATCTGCTGGAGACAAAGAGATACATTCTTTAAATAATCGCATGTATTCCTGCAAATGGTATATATATTTTGAAACGAGGTGTAATGTGGTTAGTCTGGCAGTTTTTTAAGGGAATCTAACTCATAATACACTTCAGGCTCTATTTTGATTTATTATCTTTTCAGTAGGACTTTCAACCATCCTTTACGTCTAGTAGGAACAACATACCGTATAAAATAGCATATTTAGATTTCAAAACTTTCTTATTCTTAATGTCCATTGTCTAAAACAATAAATTTTCCTCATTAACCAGAAAATTTATAATTCGCTGACTTCTTTCATAGTTACAATGCCTTAAAGGATATATCATGAAGAATGGAAAACCAATCATTCCACTTGATCGTCATTATATGTGTTTCGAAATATCATGAAGAGTGCGTGAACCAGAAGTACTAGACAATACTACTTTGTTGTGTTACGAACTGATTTTCTTATTATAGTCAAGTAGGTTTGAAAATATACATCACTACGACGAAACCTGTATGTTGAATTATGTACTAAAATTAGCTTGATCTTTGTTCTGGATAGCACTTTAATTGGATGATGAAAGAATCTCCACCATGTATACGAAACTTAGGGTCTTCTTTGAAAAGGAATACTGAGAAAGATTTATTGATCTTGCTTGTTGTAATATACTACACCAGAACTATACAAGTTAAATACAAATAACACGCTGAATTAAACTAACATTCCTTTCTAAAAGGAAGTTAATTGACCACTGTTGCAAAATGCAACCAACCAAATCGATATCAATGTGCCAGTAGTTGCAGTTATCAGTTAACACTATTTAGAACAAACACATTCATGGAAGGTTTTTAAGCGCACTTCCAAACACTGTAGCATTTAACACATGATACGGAAAGCGAAGAATGGTTTCATTCTGAATACTATAAAATTTGAACTAGCAGCACAAAATTTTCAAATAGTTCACGTTTGAAAAATGACAGCGACTGAAAGGCCATAATGTTTCATAAGTGCAACTTAGATGCCGTAGATTTTCGTGGGGTTTCGAATGGGCAAGATACCGTAATGAGGAGGTTTGGCGAACATTAAATGGATGTGGAGTACCAGATGGATACAAAAAATCATTGAACCCAGTTCTTAATATCTACCTGACTTGAGATAAATTTCCGAAACACCTATTGAAAAGCCGTAACCTGCTAGGTCGACAGAGTTGTCCACAGCCGACACGGTTGATGAACGAAGGGTAGAACAACAGAAGTCACTGTATTTTGAGTGATTGAAGGATAACCTGCGCGTTGTGAGATTTAACAGGTTTGATTGATAAAATTCCCCTAAGGGTTCATGAAAGTCCAAAATTTAGAAGCCAACAGTTTGCAAGAATCGGTTCATCAGTTCTTATAGGTTTTCATCTGCTATGTAATTCATATTCACCTTTGATGAAAGATCCTTAAAAGTTAATGAATTTCTTGCAAACTTCTAAACTGTACAAAATTTTGTCATCAGATTTTCAAATGTCAGAATAAAAAGAACCAAACTGTTAAGTTTTGAAATATATTGATGACTAATAGTCAAGATAAGACTTAGCTTATTTTCACCAATTTGCCTACCACAAAATAATTTGGATCGTCTGTAAAGCTTCTTCGTTATACTATTCCATTTTACCAGTCCTCTGGAACTTACCACATTAGTACTCTCAAAATTCGGTAAACGAATTATGCTACACGTTTTCTTAGCAAGATTCAACTTTAAATGCATATCTTTTCATGCAGCAAGTAAATAGGTTAACTTCAAGTAGAATTACTTTTTAACCTTTTTTGACGTCTAAAGATTTATTTATTATCTTTCTTTCGGTTGTAGAACAGCTTATGATTCATCATTTCCCAAAACATATTTCACCATGATTGATAAGTCGTTTGTAAATTCGCTTCTCTTCCGTCACTTTGATAGACGTATAAATTACCTTTGTATACATATTTATAAAATGCTTGCTGATATATCATGGTAAGCTGCAGATCTGAACAAAACGTGCTATTCATTTCCTCCTTCTGTTAGTTCGTTACCTGAAATAAAAATTAAATCTGTAGGGGAAATTTCTATTGTATACGTCTTCGTTAAGAAACCAACCATATTATTCCGTATGTTTTTATCTTAAAACTTCAATTGGTCTGATCATTCTTCACTGAGGATATAAAAACAGTATCTAATTTTAGTCAGTTACAGCAAGATCAGTCTGTTGACAACGATTGTTTTGGGGAGTTCTAAGTCACCCCGATTTCCATTGCGCCAATGGAGTTTGTTAGTTAGGTAGTTTGAACTACCTACGAATCAGTCGCTTACGTTGGAACTAGTCAGAACGTTTAGCTGAAGAGAAAATAAAAGGTTGTAAATATTAGCGGAGTTGACCGAACACAATACCAGTAACCCACTCAGTGAAACTGTAGAGTCACTTGCTTTTTCCATACAGTTTTATCAGTTATTTCGTTACATCAAGTTTACATGGAAAAATAGCATTGTTTTGCATCTTTTAGTCGGAACCATAACCTGTTATAAACCAGAGACCCTATCTACCGGACGAAAATTTCGGCCCTGGTTTCTTTAAGTTTTTTGACGCATTTTTGACTACCATACCAATTTCATAAAACTTAGACTGTTGTCTAAACAAGGAAAACACTTATCTCGACATAATTTGCCTCAGTGTTGTGCACCAAGATACATAGTTGTCTTTTAAAGAAATAGACTTACTTTTGCAAATAACAACCATAGTGTAAACGGAAAAATTAACTGAAAGTCAACTATATATCCTTAAGACATTCAGTATGTATACTTTTTTATTTTGAAAGAAATTTCCCAGATAACAAAAGGTGTGATCTTATGCGGTCAGCAAAAATAGGTCAGTAATCACTATTTTAATGGAACTGTTTAGTCATAATTTCTAGCCACTCATAAAGACCAATCTTAACATTATCCACTGAAGATAAATACAATATAGGATTTTTAGACTGAACGAACAATTAAGGGATTACCTATGTTTTCAGTCACCTAACATAAGAAAGTTGACTAATTTTTAAGATAATTCGGCAAAAATCATAAGTGAACTGACTTAATATTCAACAGAAATACCATTAACTGAATTCAATCACAGAACTATTAAACTTTTGTCAGCCACACTACAGAGATCAGAGTATTATCTAAAACTGAGGAATTTGCAGCAGAAATCCTAAAGTTGAGGAGTTAAAACGTTAATCCACAGAAAAAACGTCTATATGAACTACAGAATCTGTCAGCAGTTTACAGATTTCAGATAAACAAATGTAACAGCGCTAGCTTACTTAGCTTTACAGAAGTGACTGCTATCAGAAGAATTCAACCGGAGTTTTTTAGCTTT